AAAGTACAGGTATTTGTGTTCAACATGTAAGAAGTAGAAAGTACAGGTATTGAGTTCAACATGTAAGAAGTAGAAAGTACAGGTATTGAGTTCAACATGTAAGAAGTAGAAAGTACAGGTATTTGTGTTCAACATGTGAGAAGTAGAAAGTACAGGTATTTGAGTTCAACATGTGAGAAGTAGAAAGTACAGGTATTTTAGTAGTTTCAACATGTAAGAAGTAGAAAGTACAGGTATTTGTGTTCAACATGTAAGAAGTAGAAAGTACAGGTATTTGAGTTCAACATGTAAGAAGTAGAAAGTACAGGTATTTGAGTTCAACATGTAGAAGTAGAAAGTACAGGTATTTGTGTTCAACATGTAAGAAGTAGAAAGTACAGGTATTTGAGTTCAACATGTAAGAAGTAGAAGTACAGGTATTGTGTTCAACATGTAAGAAGTAGAAAGTACAGGTATTTGAGTTCAACATGTAAGAAGTAGAAAGTACAGGTATTTGAGTGTCAACATGTAGAGAAGTAGAAAGTACAGGTATTTGAGTTCAACATGTAAGAAGTAGAAGTACAGGTATTTGAGTTCAACATGTAAGAAGTAGAAAGTACAGGTATTTGAGTTCAACATGTAAGAAGTAGAAAGTACAGGTATTTGTAGTTCAACATGTAAGAAGTAGAAAGTACAGGTATTTGAGTTCAACATGTAAGAAGTAGAAAGTACAGGTATTTGAGTTCAACATGTAAGAAGTAGAAAGTACAGGTATTTGAGTTCAACATGTAAGAAGTAGAAAGTACAGGTATATGAGTTCAACATGTAAGAAGTAGAAAGTACAGGTATTTGAGTTCAACATGTAAGAAGTAGAAAGTACAGGTATTTGAGTTCAACATGTAAGAAGTAGAAAGTACAGGTATTTGAGTTCAACATGTAAGAAGTAGAAAGTACAGGTATTTGAGTTCAACATGTAAGAAGTAGAAAGTACAGGTATTTGAGTTCAACATGTAAGAAGTAGAAAGTACAGGTATTTGAGTTCAACATGTAAGAAGTAGAAAGTACAGGTATTTGAGTTCAACATGTAAGAAGTAGAAAAGTACAGGTATTTGAGTTCAACATGTAAGAAGTAGAAAGTACAGGTATTTGAGTTCAACATGTAAGAAGTAGAAAGTACAGGTATTTGAGTTCAACATGTAAGAAGTAGAAAGTACAGGTATTTGAGTTCAACATGTAAGAAGTAGAAAGTACAGGTATTTGAGTTCAACATGTAAGAAGTAGAAAGTACAGGTATTTGAGTTCAACATGTAAGAAGTAGAAAGTACAGGTATTTGAGTTCAACATGTAAGAAGTAGAAAGTACAGGTATTTGAGTTCAACATGTAAGAAGTAGAAAGTACAGGTATTTGAGTTCAACATGTAAGAAGTAGAAAGTACAGGAATTGAGTTCAACATGTAAGAAGTAGAAAGTACAGGTATTTGAGTTCAACATGTAAGAAGTAGAAAGTACAGGTATTTGAGTTCAACATGTAAGAAGTAGAAAGTACAGGTATTTGAGTTCAACATGTAAGAAGTAGAAAGTACAGGTATTTGAGTTCAACATGTAAGAAGTAGAAAGTACAGGTATTTGTAGTTCAACATGTAAGAAGTAGAAAGTACAGGTATTTGAGTTCAACATGTAAGAAGTAGAAAGTACAGGTATTTGAGTTCAACATGTAAGAAGTAGAAAGTACAGGTATTTGAGTTCAACATGTAAGAAGTAGAAAGTACAGGTATTTGAGTTCAACATGTAAGAAGTAGAAAGTACAGGTATTTGAGTTCAACATGTAAGAAGTAGAAAGTACAGGTATTTGAGTTCAACATGTAAGAAGTAGAAAGTACAGGTATTTGAGTTCAACATGTAAGAAGTAGAAAGTACAGGTATTTGAGTTCAACATGTAAGAAGTAGAAAGTACAGGTATTTGTGTTCAACATGTAAGAAGTAGAAAGTACAGGTATTTGAGTTCAACATGTAGAAGTAGAAGTACAGGTATTGAGTTCAACATGAATAAGTACAGGTATTGAGTTCAACATGTAAGAAGTAGAAAGTACAGGTATTTGAGTTCAACATGTAAGAAGTAGAAAGTACAGGTATTTGAGTTCAACATGTAAGAAGTAGAAAGTACAGGTATTTGAGTTCAACATGTAAGAAGTAGAAAGTACAGGTATTTGAGTTCAACATGTAAGAAGTAGAAAGTACAGGTATTTGAGTTCAACATGTAAGAAGTAGAAAAGTACAGGTATTTGTGTTCAACATTAAGAAGTAGAAAGTACAGGTATTTGTGTTCAACATGTAAGAAGTAGAAAGTACAGGTATTTGAGTTCAACATGTAAGAAGTAGAAAGTACAGGTATTTGAGTTCAACATGTAAGAAGTAGAAAGTACAGGTATTTGAGTTCAACATGTAAGAAGTAGAAAGTACAGGTATTTGAGTTCAACATGTAAGAAGTAAAAGTACAGGTATTTGTGTTCAACATGTAAGAAGTAGAAAGTACAGGTATTTGAGTTCAACATGTAAGAAGTAGAAAGTACAGGTATTTGAGTTCAACATGTAAGAAGTAGAAAGTACAGGTATTTGAGTTCAACATGTAAGAAGTAGAAAGTACAGGTATTTGAGTTCAACATGTAAGAAGTAAGTCAGGTATTTGAGTTCAACATGTAAGAAGTAAAAAGTACAGGTATTTGATGTTCAAAACATGTAAGAAGTAGAAAAGTACAGGTATTTGAGTTCAACAGTAAGAAGGTAGAAAGTACAGGTATTTGAGTTCAACATGTAAGAAGTAGAAAGTACAGGTATTGAGTTCAACATGTAAGAAGTAGAAAGTACAGGTATTTGAGTTCAACATGTAAGAAGTAGAAAGTACAGGTATTTGAGTTCAACAGTAAGAAGTTAGAAAGTACAGGTATTTGAGTTCAACATTAAGAAGTAGAAAAGTACAGGTATTTTGAGTTCAACATGTAAGAAGTAGAAAGTACAGGTATTTGTGTTCAACATGTAAGAAGTAGAAAGTACAGGTATTTGAGTTCAACATGTAAGAAGTAGAAAGTTACAGGTATTTGAGTTCAACATTGTAAGAAGTAGAAAGTACAGGTATTTGAGTTCAACATGTAAGAAGTAGAAAGTACAGGTATTTGTGTTCAACATGTAAGAAGTAGAAAGTACAGGTATTTGTGTTCAACATGTAAGAAGTAGAAAGTACAGGTATTTGTGTTCAACATGTAAGAAGTAGAAAGTACAGGTATTTGTGTTCAACATGTAAGAAGTAGAAAGTACAGGTATTTGAGTTCAACATGTAGAAGTAGAAAGTACAGGTATTTGAGTTCAACATGTAAGAAGTAGAAAGTACAGGTATTTGAGTTCAACATGTAAGAAGTAGAAAGTACAGGTATTTGAGTTCAACATGTAAGAAGTAGAAAGTACAGGTATTTGAGTTCAACATGTAAGAAGTAGAAAGTACAGGTATTTGAGTTCAACATGTAAGAAGTAGAAAGTACAGGTATTTGTGTTCAACATGTAAGAAGTAGAAAGTACAGGTATTTGTGTTCAACATGTAAGAAGTAGAAAGTACAGGTATTTGTGTTCAACATGTAAGAAGTAGAAAGTACAGGTATTTGAGTTCAACATGTAAGAAGTAGAAAGTACAGGTATTTGAGTTCAACATGTAAGAAGTAGAAAGTACAGGTATTTGTGTTCAACATGTAAGAAGTAGAAAGTACAGGTATTTGAGTTCAACATGTAAGAAGTAGAAAGTACAGGTATTTGTGTTCAACATGTAAGAAGTAGAAAGTACAGGTATTGTAGTTCAACATGTAAGAAGTAGAAAGTACAGGTATTTGTGTTCAACATGTAAGAAGTAGAAAGTACAGGTATTTGTGTTCAACATGTAAGAAGTAGAAAGTACAGGTATTTGTGTTCAACATGTAAGAAGTAGAAAGTACAGGTATTTGAGTTCAACATGTAAGAAGTAGAAAGTACAGGTATTTGATGTTCAACATGTAAGAAGTAGAAAGTACAGGTATTTGAGTTCAACATGTAAGAAGTAGAAAGTACAGGTATTTGTAGTTCAACATGTAAGAAGTAGAAAGTACAGGTATTTGATGTTCAACATGTAAGAAGTAGAAAGTACAGGTATTTGTGTTCAACATGTAAGAAGTAGAAAGTACAGGTATTTGAGTTCAACATGTAAGAAGTAGAAAGTACAGGTATTTGTGTTCAACATGTAAGAAGTAGAAAGTACAGGTATTTGTAGTTCAACATGTAAGAAGTAGAAGTACAGGTATTTGTAGTTCAACATGTAAGAAGTAGAAAGTACAGGTATTTGAGTTCAACATGTAAGAAGTAGAAAGTACAGGTATTTGAGTTCAACATGTAAGAAGTAGAAAGTACAGGTATTTGAGTTCAACATGTAGGTATTTGAGTTCAACATGTAAGAAGTAGAAAGTACAGGTATTTGAGTTCAACATGTGAGAAGTAGAAAGTACAGGTATTTGAGTTCAACATGTAAGAAGTAGAAAGTACAGGTATAATGTTCAACATGTGAGACGTAGAAAGTACAGGTATTTGAGTTCAACATGTAAGAAGTAGAAAGTAGAGGTATTTGAGTTCAACATGTAAGAAGTAGAAAGTACAGGTATTTGTGTTCAACATGTAAGAAGTAGAAAGTACAGGTATTTGTGTTCAAAATGTAAGAAGTAAAAGTAAAAAGTCGTCAGAAAAATAAGTAGTGGAGTAAAGTACTGATACCAGAAACATATACTTAAGTGGGAAAGCAGTAACGAATGTATTTGTGTATTTGTGTTCCGTTACATCCCACCTCTGATAATAATGATATGTTAAGGAAAGGATGTGTAAGTCTATGAAGGTCTTGTTGTGAGAATGTGAATCTCCGACAGGGGAACGCCACCACTGTTGGAACAAGTCTTCCTCCTCATAGGGAAACACTGGCTTTTATTTTGAAAGGTATAACCGGAGGCCCTGCACGTTCTCTTGTTAAAGTGGAACGCATCACCGCAGCTGTTCTCAGCGTCACCGTGAGAGGAGACAGAGGAGATAGTCTGGTACCGTTACCGGGCCGGGATACCGTTAGTAAATAATCATTTCCTTCCAGTTTAACGGAACAAGGTCTGGGTACCGGTTATCATGGGAAATATACCTTGCGAGCGCGGGAACATCGGCCACGAAGAACACAGCTCATGTTTTGACGTAAATCAGGGAATATAACTGCTGACGGCGAATACACAGAACACCACACTCTCTCCATCTCCTCCATTTTGGTTGTCAGTGATGGAGCACATCCGGACGCCCAAGGTAACAACGCTCGGTATTTCTCCAGCAGGACTTCACGTAACGTCCCTCCTCTATCCTCGGCTGTGTTTCATCTGGTGTGCCCTCTCGCTTAGCTTTTATTCAATGACCCGCCAGGTTCGTCCTTCTCTCTGCATCAGCTCTCCCCGCTCTGTCTCTGCTGAACCCCGCGGGCAGCTCCACAGTACCGGCTGTCTGTGAGGGACAGCCCTGGGAACACGTTCTTGTGTCCAGTTCATATTCTGCTTAACAAATATTTACCAAACACATTGATGGTAGCCTACACATTAAACCAATAACATTGTGTTCAACCTCTAAATTATTGACGTAACTCTAAACACAGCTGGCGCCTGTGGTGCTGTGGTTTTATGATGCTCATGTGCTCGTGTGCTGACATCAACAGGTTTTGTTTGTTATGCAATAGGAATATGTGATCTATTATTCTGTCCTGTAATGGTGATTAAAAAAAACAACCCTTTCCTCCTGTCTGCCAACCTCTTAAAGGCACAGGGGCCTCAAAGGACCATCCTCCCTGTTTCCACATGGTCTGATAGACTTTATAAGGAACATTACTAATCATGTAATACACACATTTCTCATAACTATGTCATATGTGGCAACACTTACTGGATGACATGTATTTTCAGGCACACTTAGATTTAGCTCAGTGAATGTTGTAATCTGATGAGTCATGGCAGAGGATGTTGGGAGCTGCTATTACAGTTAATAAACAATATTGTGATTATGTGAGTGGAGAGACATATTTCCTATGTATTTGTCATGTTTAGATTTTTCTGTCTCTGATATTTTGCCTCTGGTAGGTGGAAAATGTGCGTCTCCTCGACCGGTCGTCAGGACAGAGAAAGGCCAGCATTGGGACTCTCTACCTCTCTGCCACGCACACCATCTTTGTAGAGAACAACCCAGAGACACGCAAGGAGTCCTGGGTGAGCAGCGAGCCCTGAGCGCCTCTAACACTCAGTCACATCTCAGATTCTACGACGTGAATCCTGGCGTTCTTTCTTCATTTGCTGACTCCTATCCTTGTCTGAAAAAGGCTGTTTCAATGTAACTGAATAACCTGCTTAAAGAGGGGGTGGGGGACACTGCCCTGTCCCTCTGGACCTGACCACATAAAATAGGCATCCAGCGTGGTCCGATTTCTCCCAGACCGTCTGCTGGGTTAAAAGGAACAAAGATAGCTTGCGTTGAAAACTAGATGACTCAATAATGTGGCTTGTGTTGTTTTTGTTTTTTTATAGTGCTGTTTGAAATTCCTTACTTGTGTACTTAATACATTTAATTAAAAGCCTCATTAGTTATTAACAAAAGGAACCAATAGAGAAAGTGGAACATTGTCAACAGTGGATAAAAGAACGTGTGTGTGTGTGTGTGTGTGTGTGTGTGTGTGTGTGTGTGTGTGTGTGTGTGTGTGTGTGTGTGTGTGTGTGTGTGTGTGTGTGTGTGTGTGTGTGTGTGTGTGTGTGTGTGTGTGTGTGTGTGTGTGTGTGTGTGTGTGTGTTCCAGGTGTTGCACAGTATGGTGAGCAGTGTGGAGAGGACCCCCACCATCCCCGCAGGAAGTCAGGTGATCCTGCGATGCAAAGACTTCCGGGTCTTCCAGATCCTTGTTCCACAGGAGAGAGACTGTTTGGATGTCCTCACCTCATTGGTCAGATTGTCACGACCAGGTGTGTGTGATCATGTTTGTGATTGGTTAAATGTGTTTTGAAGGGATTTCATAAACACAGACCCTGGAAAGCATGTTGTCAGGAGCAGGTGGTGTCTAGTTCAGGCTGTGAAGCACTTTCAAGTTACTCTCCTCCTCTCCTCTCTCCTCCTTTCCTCTCCTCCTAAAGTCGAATACTAGAAACGAAGTGAAGTATAAAAAGAGAGTGAAGGTACTTGAATAATATAAGTGAAGCATCTTCAGAAGGGAATGGAAAAGAGTAGAATAAGGGAATCGAATAGATCTATTCTTAGACTCTCCTCCTGTCCTGCGCTCCTCCTCCTATCCCTCCTCAATCCTATCCACGCTCTCCTCCTCTCTCTCTCTCTCTCTCTCTCTCTCTCTCTCTCTCTCTCTCTCTCTCTCTCTCTCAGAGAAGTACAGTGAGCTGTACTGTCTGTCCTTTAACCCCAATGTGAATAAAGAGGAGAGGCAGGAGTCGTGGAGCTTCGTGGACCTGACGGCGGACTACAAGAGGATGGGGCTTCCTAACAACCTGTGGGTTTCCACAGCGGCCAACAGTGAATACAGGGTCAGTGTGATTGTAAGGTGTAGAAAAAGGTAGCGATAAGCTTTAACTATACTATACTAAACTTTATTATAGTGTAGGAGATTAACAATACGTCTCACATTAAACAGTACCTAAGCTCTACTATTTCCATAACTCTTATATACTTGTTAAAGTTGTTAAAGGTCCCATGTCATGGCCATTTCTACTGATCATAATTCCATTGTTGAGGTCAACTACACTGAACAAAAATATAAACGCAACACTTTTGTTTTTGCTCCCATTTTTCATGAGATGAACTCAAAGATCTAAAACATTTTCTATAAACACAAAATAACCATTTCTCTCAAATATTGTTCACAAATCTGAAAAAATCTGTGATAGTGAGCACTTCTCCTTTGCCGAGATAATCCATCCCACCTCACAGGTGTGGCATATCAAGATGCTGATTAGACAGCATGATTATTGCACAGGTGTGCCTTAGGCTGGCCACAATAAAAGGCCACTCTGAAACGTGCAGTTTTGCTTTATTGGGGGGGTCTGGGGGGGTCCGAAAACCAGTCAGTATCTGGTGTGAGGGGTAGTGGTAGCGTTAGGGTTAGGGTTAGGGTAATGTTGTGAATCGAGTGGCCCATGGTGGTGGTGGGGTTATGGTATGGGCAGGCGTATGTTATGGACGACGAACACAGGCCACTCAATTCACAACATTACCCTAACCCTACCCCTCACACCAGATACTGACTGGTTTTCGGACCCCCCCAGACCCCCCCCAATAAAGCAAAAATGCACGTTTCAGAGTGGCCTTTTAAATGTGTTTTGGGGGAAATGTCCGGGCTGCAAAGTAACCAGTACGCTAAGAGCCTTTCAGTTCCCACTAACAATTTGTATTGAAATAAATCAACATGGAACCTAACTTTGCATCCTCCCGGCCCCTTATTGGCGAACACCCAGCAACTAGTAACCTAGCAACCGAGCTTCAGCTAGCGGCAGTCAGAAACTCATGTATCTTCGAATCTACTTGCAAATAAATATGGTGAAGTGTAAGTTGAACCGTATTTGGTTTGAAAACATCGACATTAGTGCTTGGTTGAAACCAAGGGGAACGTGTTTGAAGCCCGCCACACCTTTTTTTAAAAAAAGAATGTAGCGTTAGCTAGTGCAGCGTGCTCCCAGCATCAGCATCCGGGCGACGTGTGGGTCGACGTCAACCCTAAAAGCGGAGGTGCTGTGGATGCTAATCGTAGCTAAACACCAATCATACAACAGCAACGATGAAAGATTGTAGCCAAGGGAGCAGGGGCCTCATTTATAAAGGGATATACGCTCAAAAAATGGCATACGCCAGTTTCTACGCAATGTTTGCGATTTATAAAATACTAACTTGATGGGAAAACGTGCGGTCCTCCACGCAAACTCTGACCCATGCGTACGCACTAAGCACAAACACGGGAGAGACGAGAAACTGCGACACCGTTGGCAGAAGGAAGAATGGAGAGAAATATGTGGAAATAATACCATAAATAAAATGTTACCTCTCATTTATCATATATGAAGAATTCATTTGCAAACATTGATTAAAGCCTTTCTTAAAATGATTTAACAAACGCCTGTTTGCGACTCCTCAGTGCACACAAAAACATAACTTGGAGAAATAAATAAATACGGATATGTTATTTAAAACCACCTCCAATATGTTGTGTTAATGTTATGAAATGTTTTCTCATAAATGATGCGGTAAGCAGGAGGACAGCATTACTTTAAACTGACGCCGTGTTGCATTTCTATAGGTTGTAGATACGAGCATGGTTTTATATACTATCACGTTTAATCGTGTTTTATGCCGTTTGCTAAGACTTGATAAGTCGCTCGTAAAACACAGGAGGTATGGAAACTAAGAACACCATATGTGGTCAATTGTACAGCGAATATAACACAACACATTAGTTGTATTTCCTTTAACTGGTGGATATAAGGTTGCTGGGGGGGGGTTGAGACGCACAGGCTGCAGTGGAGACGCTGCGCACAGCTGATCGACAGCTGGGACACAAACCACCAAATACAAAAACATAATTCAGATCCAGTCGTCATGACTCCACTCCGGAGGGATTCCCGATCATTTCTTACAGTCTCTCATCAAGGGGGGGTCTCCTGTCCCCGGTACAAACACACTGCCTGAGGAAGGCTATGTGTATTGTTTTTGTCATGAACCTTTTTCGGTCCACTTCTTTATTTATTTTGGTGACGATCCGACCTCCATGCTGCTACTCTGGTTCAAACTGCATCCACCAAACAATATGATTTATCTCCACCTCCCCAAAATAACCAGAATCTGACACGGTGTGAGATGTCTTTTTTAGCTGTTCTGTCGTCATTTCCTGCGATCTTCTTCATGCAGTCAGTCAGAATGAATGAATGGGCGTTTCTTTGACTATTTATAGGCAAATATGGGCGTTACGTGAAGCCCGCAAAAGCTGCACCGCATTTCGTGTCGATTGTGATTTATAAAGGGAAACCGGCGTAGGAAGTGCCGTACGCACTTTCCTCGCCGGTACGCAATGTTTGGTGAATCGGAAAATGTCTGTACCTATTTTTGGGATTTCTACTACGTAAGCAACCTTCCCACGTGAATCCTACGCACGGCGTTATACATGAGGCCCCAGAGCTCAGAAGATAGCCACACACACACACACACTTCTTCTTTCATAGCAATTCTCCTTCATACTTTCTTGCCGTGAAATAAGTCTTAAATTCTATTTAAAGCGGTCTTAAAAAGTCTTACATTTGAGTTGGTGAAACCTGCAGGAACCCTGCTAACTGTAAATCATACATTAATTTCATAATGCTGTTGGACTGCATAGAGTGCAGATAAAAGCTGATTATGTTGTTTAATACATGCATGTTTTCTTTAAGAACAAATAGGTTCCCTGAAGGAGGAATTTGACCTTTTCTGTAACCACGAGAGTCATTCATGTCATAAACCATTATTATAAGTGTGGCATATAGATGTGTATGGTTAATATCAAATCTGAGTTCAGGTTAGTGTAGGGTAAATCCAAATGTTCAGGGATTATATCCATAATATTGCCATAATGTCCAATTATTGCACATTATGATCCAACTTTGGCTCAAACACTGTACTGAATGCCGAGAAACAGTCTGTTACATACCCCCTGTAAAATGACCACTTTAATGGTCAAATGGTTGTGTATAATGTCGTTTTTGTTGTTGTCAACAACTGCCATAAAAACCCAAATCTAGGATGAATTGATCCTAATAACAGCTGTTATACGCTAGACAGTAATGTAAGTGTTACAGTATGTACATTGTTCCTCTGTGCCATAGGGCGCATTTTGTTCCATTCTTCAGTGAGCCACAGCATATACTATAAACAATTTCCCAATAAGGATCAATTCAGTATATCTAAACTAATATGTTGTCTTTGTTTGCCATCATTTATGGTGGACAGGAACCATGTTTAGTAACAGTTGGTAATCTGTATAATCTACAAAATTCAAATATATGTTTCTCCCCCAGGTGTGTGAAACGTACCCATCCGAGCTGTATGTTCCAAAGTCGGCCACACCCCCCATCATTGTGGGTAGTGCCAGGTTCAGGAGCCGAGGACGATTTCCTGCTCTATCCTACTTCCACCAAGACACTCTGGTACACACACACACACACACACACACACACACACACACACACACACACACACACACACACACACACACACACACACACACACACACACACACACACACACACACACACACACACACACACACACACACACACACACTTTAAACAACAGAGTCATGAATGTATTGAGGATCATATGCAAGGTGTTGTCTGCACCGGGTAACAGGGGCGCTGCGCCCTCTTACTCTCGGCGTGAGCCCTCATACCAACATTTCAAGTGATTCCAGAAAACAATATTTCTCTTCGTCAAAAACTGTATAATTACTCCAAAAATGTGAAAATCATGTCAAATAGACCGTCAGACGGCACAGACAGCAGAGGAGCTTGGAATGAATATGGGATGGATGTCCGGTGGGTCTGCCGGGGGACGAGTGGCAGGCAGCAGGCTTACACTCAAACTGTGATTTCTGAATGAGATTGTTTCTTTAACTGTCCTTTCTTCTGTAGAGGAAGTCAAGAAACCGTAAGCAGCTTTAAGACGTGAACAAACCATTATTTTCCACTTCGCTCTAATGCATTATTTCCCTGGAAAGTGGACTTCATTTAGGCCGGTAGTGACGTTAGCGCCCTCATACAATATTCTTCTAGAAAAACCCATGCATATGTTGCTGATGCAAAGCACTCAGTGGGTGTGTACTACAAAGTGTGTAATGTGGTGACATCACAGGCCGCAGTGTGTCGATGCAGCCAGCCTCTGTCCGGCTTCAGCGGCCGCTGTCAGGAGGATGAGGCCATGCTGCAGGCCCTGATGAAGGCCAACCCAGGAAGTGACTACATCTATGTGGTGGACACCAGGCCCAAGGTAACACACACACACACACACACACACACACACACACACATATACTTACAAATATACTATGAGATTATAGATTGTTTGTGTGTGTTTGGGTACAGTTGAATGCCATGGCAAATCGCGCTGCAGGTAAAGGCTACGAGAATGAAGACCACTACACTAACATCAAGCTGCACTTCATCGGCATTGAAAATATTCACGTGATGAGGAGCAGCCAGCAGAAGATCATCGACGGTAAGGAGAGGAGTTCTAGGGAGAGGCGGTGTGAGGGTCACACAGCGCTCCTCCTCTGATAGCATCTCACTACTCTCCCTCTCTTCCATGCAGTGGGTGAGATGCGATTTCCATCCATGACTGACTTCCTGTACGGTCTGGAGAACTCTGGTTGGCTCAAACATATTAAAGCGATCCTGGATGCGGGGCTCTTCATAGCCAGGGTGTGTACACACGGCAGACTCACACACACGTTTCAGTGAGACAAATATAATCTATGTAAAAAGTCATAAAACCCATTTTGTACTAAAACCAACAATCAATGAAGATCGTCTCTCTCTCTCTAGTGTCAGCTTTAATTCGGTATTCTATGAATATTTAAAACATACATTGTCTTAAAGCAGCAATAGATTTACAGGAAAGTGAAAGCAAAGCCAAGTCCGGTCGTATGACACAGAACGTGGTCATTAGGGTACCTCGTTGTGGTGGGTGGGATTATGAGACAGTTCTATGAGCTCTGTTTGGTGTATCAGGGCTTTGACCCGGCTTGGGGGGGTCCTGCTGTTGAGCTGCTCTCTGTGCCCTGCAGGCCGTGGCTGATGAAGGAGTCAGTGTGTTGGTGCACTGCTCAGACGGCTGGGACCGCACCGCCCAGGCCTGCTCTGTGGCCAGTATACTGCTGGACCCTTACTACAGGACCATCAGAGGCCTCATGGTACACACACACACACACACACACACACACACACACACACACACACACACACACACACACACACACACACACACAGTCTCTTGTTCTTACCTCTGATTTGATCCTCTTCTTGCTCCTCCTTTCCTCGCTGGCCTCCTTTGTATTTCCTCCTCTCCTCTCTCCCAGGTGCTGATAGAGAGGGACTGGGTTTCCTTCGGACACAAGTTCTCCCACAGGTAACTGTGGAAGTCGGACTTAATCTGACCTTAACTGCATCATGTGTGTTTATTGTGTAAGACAAAAGGGTCACAACAAGTCAAAGATAAAACCAGTCTCAGGCATCGGGTGTGATGCCAATGGAACAGGGGTATTTGATCAAATAAGTGCTACCTCTCTTTAAGTTGCAGTATTCATTATTATTATGATGATTATTTAAATTGAGGATAACAGATAACAAACACTGTTAAAGAGTTGATTACTTGTGAAATGATAATATGACTAGTTAAATGACATTTTCTAAAAGCCCATTGGAGGTCATCAGAGCTCAAAGTGATTATTTCATGAGGACATCAAAAGGGCGCCCTGACCACTTATTATCCAAGCTGGGGTGGGACATTTTGTTCAAAGCATTTTTAGCTTTAACAGGCACACAAATAATATAAATTCATTATAATTATACAATTACTGATGAATGATTTACTATATCATCCATCACAGACATCTGTAGACTGTTTTCTCTACATTTAAGCTCTGAGTCACTCATGGAGAGATAACATTTGAGAAATGGTATTAATGAACATTTCAATCCTTTCTCTGCTCTCTTTGTTCCCTCCCTTCCTTCCTTCCTGTCTGCTTTTCTACTGGAGGCACTGTACAGCACTGAACTTGAATATAACTTGATTTAGTGGAGAGAATGCTGCTGTGTGTGTTGGGCAGTAAGATGGAGCTGTGTCCCTGCAGGTACGGCCACCTGGACGGAGATCCTAAAGAAGTGTCTCCTGTCATTGATCAGTTTGTGGAGTGTGTGTGGCAGCTGTCTGAGCAGTTCCCCTGTGCCTTCGAGTTCAACGAGCGCTTCCTCGTCACCATACACACACACATCTACTCCTGTCAATATGGGACCTTCTTGGGCAACTGCCAGAAGGAGCGCAGGGACATGAGGTAGGACTGAAACACACACGTTCGCTTGTATTGGACTGTGTGCAGAGACCAGCACAGTATGCAGAGTTCTGAATAATGACCCTGTGCTTGTGGTACTTGTAAGTGTTCGATCACTTTCTTACTATTATGCTAACTTTTACCAATTATTTTCCAAAACGGCATCAGTTATATTCCCAATGCAGTTTGTCAAGGACTTCACATGTACATCACTCACATCTTTATTATGATGTGTATTATGTAGTTCCACTGCAGTCCCATCAGGATGCATGCTGTCAGGACAGTAACAGGTCATTGGTGTGGTTGCTTTGGTTATCCTAAATGAACTTCTACCACACTGGACTGGCAACAACATTCAGGGGAGTTTTCATTGTGTCAGTGCTGACCCTCACATTTTGCTCCCTTGTCTGTTACAGCAAAGAGTGAGTGCTGCATTTGAGAAGGTGTCATGGTTTTGTAACATTGCTGTGTGCTGTGGACAGGCTTGGAGAGCGGACTCACTCCGTTTGGCCCGAGCTGTGGAAGGAGCGGGCCCAGTACACCAACCCTCTGTACCGGGCTGAGCAGAGCCAGAGCCAGGGGGTCCTGAGGCCCAACACCACCCCCTACTGCTTCAAGTGAGTCCCTGCACACGCACACACGGTCATTTTTATTTTCTTGGTCCTACTTCTTTACTTTCTTCAACCCTAGCAACTCGCTGTCAGTCAAACATAATCTCCTAGGAAATTATTGTGAAGAAAAACATTGGCAAAAAAAACGTTTTTTCCGTCTCAGGATGTGGAAGGGTCTCTATAACCACGCAGAGAAATCCACGCCTCCTCGCCAGTCACCTGCTGACTTCCTGTCTACTGTGAGGGAAGAGTCCCAGCAGCTGGAGGAGGAGCTGGCCAATCAGCAGGAGGTACCGCCGGGAGGAACCCCCCACCATCACCTGGGCTTCAGACAAGGCATACAACACACTAGCACACACTAGCACACACTAGCACACACCCCCAATATGCATCACTGCAAAATGGAGCTCTAAGGTCTTTGATCCCGTCTGCCCTCATCAGAGCAGAGTTTATCCTCAGTGAGTCACACACAGAGCCACACTGGCCTGTGCCCCCCCCCCCGCTACCATCCCTGACAAAAACAGAAGCAAAATGGAACTCTTCAAAATTCTCTTGGTGTCAACTGTTCACCAACAAGCCCCAACTCGGCTTTGGAGATTTGCAACTGAATAAGTTACAGATATAAAAAAGGAGGGACCAGGAACCCAGTTTACTGCCCCTGCTCCCCGCCACACAGAGGCCCACTGGTCTACAGTGAGAGAGGAGTCTATGGTCCACTGTCAGACGGCCTCACAGGTTTAACTAACAGTAGAGAAGTACTGCTGTATCCACATTCATCTGCCTTATGTGTGTGGAGACATCACAAGTCATAACTGTGATTAACCTCCAGCGCATGGGTGTAATTTCCACTGGGGACAGGGGGAACATGTCCCCCCCACTTTTCAAAATCCCATTTGTGTCCCCCCCACTTTTTAAATGTGTTTATTATTTATTTTGTACACAAGCGGTCATCGTCACAGAGGAGCGTCTGTGTGTATGTGGCACGAGCGCATCTTGTGAGAGAGAGATAGAAAGAGAGAGAGACAGAGAGAGAGAGACATAGAGAGTTACGGGGTTGTTGTTAGCATTTGGTGCTAGCTCGGAGCTAATGGAGATTAGTAGCTGTTTTCCAACAATAAGGAGAGGGAGAGCTCTTTCCTGTCGGACTTTGAGAGACAGAGAGAGAGAGAGACTGAGAGAGTTGGGGGTTGTTGTTAGCATCTGGTGCTCATACTTGCCAACCCTCCCGATTCTCGCGGGAGACTCCCGATTTCATTGCCCTCTCCCGGTTTCCTCCCGGGTCATATTTCTCCCGCATTTCTCCCGATTTCTGACCAAATCAGATTTACTCACGACTGTTTCCACTCTGACTTTAATATAGCTACACCATTGTTTGGTTTCCATGGTAGCGCGTCTCTTTAGTAGCGTGCACAACTCAAAGTTTGAGAGGGTGAGGAAGATAGTCACAGAAAACTGAACAAAAATCGAAAACTCGACCCTCTGCTCACTCCTTTCCTGTAAAATACAGGTCCAGCCCACATACAGTATGCTCCATCAAGGATGGTGCTACAGGCCGCAAGGCAGTGCACTTCCAACTACAATAAGCATGTTAATGTTAATCTAATACAGCCCCCCTGTGGTGGTTTTGAAATGCTCCCGATTTCTGAGGTCTCAAGGTTGGCAAGTATGGTGCTAGCTCGGAGCTAATGGAGATTAGAAGCTGTTTCAACAATAAGGAGAGGGAGAGTCCTCTCCTGTGGGACTTTGAGAGATACCGTCAGCTCAGGGAGGTAAAGGACTCACTGAGTGATTAGATTGTAAACTTTAGTCTAAGTCATCTCAGTGGGTCTCAAATGGTTTGGTCATCTATGTAAACAAATATTTCCATCTATGTAATATTAAAATAAATTAAGAAATCCTTCCAATGTACTATAAGTCAGTACAAAAATAAAAAACACAGTTTGAAAGGGGAGTGATTAGTCAAATATGCATAAATAAAAAGAAAGAATGCAGACTAGGTAAGATAAAGATAGGACAGAGGAGTTTATCAATGATGTGTTATTGGCTGTGAGCATATTCTAATGGTTTTTGGAGTATTGAAATATATACAGTTCTGTTTCATCTGGGTGTTGAAAGCTGTATCTATATAAATCTCTTAATGTTGCCCTCAAAGTGCACCAGATCGATGCTTTCAACTTCAAGGTGCATGCCCCCAGACCCCCAGGATGTGAGGTCATCACAAATAAAACAGGTTCACATGGAGAGGACACTAGATAAGTGTGCACACTCATTATATACACTACACATCTTTCTTGGATTATTAACACCATAGTCCCTAATATATTTGTAGAAAGGCAGGAAATAGAATTAAAATGAGAAAATGTTTCATTGCGGAGGACCCCCTGTTTTGTCCCCCCCCCACTTCTCAAACCAAAGTTACACCCTTGCGCACACACTTCTGGATCTTTAATGAGCAAAAAGAGCGTGATGGTATTTAAAGACTAACACGTTAGTTTCATTTGTTTGTAGAACAACATATCAGACACAAATAATAATGAAGCATATTTAAACATGTCTCCGGGGAACCTCAGGGTATTCCTTTCAAAAGAAACCATTGCTGCTAATCTGTCAGGTTTCCCAGGATTCAGTTTGCTCTGTCCAACTGAAGTTCAGCCACCCCCCACCCCCAACACAGTGAGAGAGGAGATGGTTCTCATTGTTATGGAGAGGGGCTGTTGAATTGAAATGTGTGTTGTTCTTCTGCCTCTGCAGAGGATAGCAGCCCTGACCGGGGAGCCAATCACGTGGGAGGAGGTTCTGAGGAGGAGGACTAGCCGCCCACGACCCCCCCACTGCGGGCCGGACCCGCCGTGTCTTATACAGACCCAACCAGCAGCCCTGCACAGGAGCCCCCCCCCCACCCCGCAGGCTCTCCCTCTGCAGCAGACCTGGGGTCGGGAGTCGCCGTCTTCTTCACTGCTGCCTGAGAGGACAGAGACCCTGGTGCCTGGCTGGGGGGGGGACTTTTCTTACAGTAGTTCCTTAAATGATTGAGTCCAGCAGGTGGGGGGGGGCAGAATGTGACGAGTTAAACTAGTTAAACATGGCTGCTGACAGCTGGATTTATGTCTCGTCTTCAAACTGTAGTTGGTGTCTTTAGAGTCTCAGTGAGTTAGGGACACTGTCTGACCGAGGCACCGAAGACATTTCTTCTGACTGTTTTCATTTATTTGTTTCTTGCTATCCAGAAAGGCTGTTTTTTATTTCTGTCATTTGTACTTTTTTAAAGGAATCAACATTACTGCTGTGAGTTGGATAGATGTGACATGAGTCCAGACTGAAACAGTCCGAAGAACACATAGGAGAAGAAACATTAACGTGGGTCATTTTAAGGGCGTCATTTCAACAAATACATCCTTTGCTATATGACAGATGTAATGAATGATTTATTATCATCCAGTCTTCCTCTCCCTCTGTGTAAAGTAATGTGATGACTGTATGTGATTGCTCCCAAGTGTTTCCTCACAGGGCCCTAAAACAGTGTGTGTGTGTGTGTGTGTGTGTGTGTGTGTGTGTGTGTGTGTGTGTGTGTGTGTGTGTGTGTGTGTGACAGAAGGACAGTAGATCCATCAGATTCAGGTTTCCAGTGTGTGAGAAATAGCATCTGCTCAGTAAATTGCAGATGTTCTGTTGTGTAGACTCAACACTGGGGGTCAATAAGCAGACACATGATTTCCCACATGGTCAATGTTCCTGCTCAAAAACCTTTCGCTCCATAAAACACATCTCTGCCACTGCCTCTGTCAGTATTTAGAAACCAGAGTTCCGAAAGCTAAATAACCAGTTAGCAGTGGCAGCCATAATGAAACAAAGGAGAGTGGAACAGGAAGTGCACATGGTGTACAGTGGGAATGTGTTGAACCAGTTGTTACCAGGAAGAGCAATCAAACAAATCTGAACAAAAACATGTTTATTTATTTATGGCCTTTTATTATATGTTTCAGTGTGCTGTCTACACATGCTATCTCCACACTGATGTAATCATATGTATCCTCAGTGTACATCATAACATCCAGTGCAGTTGGTCAGATAGATGCACTGAGTGTGACTATTGAGTGCTTTCAGGTGATCTTTCACTTTTTACATTCCCACCAGATGAAGTACCAACAGCAGGAACTCTGGGAACATGTCTTCAGAGTTTATTTCATGTTTATACTCCGTTGGATGGATTAACACATCAGCAGCACATTGTTGTGTTAGTGTGTCATAACGCTGAACCTGCTGTGGCTCCATGTGTCACAGATTCATTCCTAACACGTGGACTGAGTGACGGCCAGTGTGATAACTGAATTCTCATTGGCCCTGGCAGGTGTGAAAATATATAATAACGTACGGGTGTGAGGACAAATGTCCATGTGCTGCTGTGTATGACTACATCCCTTCTCTACCTGAACCATTCTCTGTAGCCCGTGTGTTCTGTATCCATTAATGTCAATGATTTATCAATAAATGCACTGTTAAAGGGAAAGAACTGCAACATACTTGGTTGTGGTCGAATTGTCAGTTTAGTTTAGGAGGAAGGTTCCTAACCATGGATGTATAATAAGAACTGGATAGCGTCGGAGACGGGGGTTGCAGTCGAATAGTCCAAAAATCAGCTCATATCCACTATTCCTTAACCTCTGTGTGAAACGTCACGGGGTTAAGGAATAGTGCATAGGAGAATTCAAAAGGATTTAGGGCTGCAGTCGAATAGTCCATTTAGCTTAGGAACCTTCCTAACTGAGTGAAAACCGAGTGGCAGCCATGATAAGTGCCGTTCGAATTCTCTAGTCTAGATGATAGGAAAGGAGGTTTCAAACTTCCTTTATAACCTCCTTTAGTTTAGGAACCACTGGACCTCCCTTACTGAAAGGAGAGGAGAAAATGCTGCCCCACAATGCCTTGCAGCCGCAGCATTTGCCGTCACTCAACAGTCGGCCGTTCACGGAAACAACCGATTATGACCGAGAAATGATATCATGAAAGTTACGGTGCTTATTAAGCATTTTAAAACGTATGTGGTAAGTTGCCCAAGTGCTTTTTTCTGAACGTTCATCAGTATTATAATCAAAAAGAGAAATATGAACGTTAGTTTTTACTGAAATGATCAAATAAAGTCAACATTTCACAGTGTTTACTGAGCTGTGTGGGGTTTGTTCAACTTTTAAAAGATGTTTGAATGGTGATGTACACAGTGATAGATGTTAAGGACTAACGTTTATAATAAATACATTTGTATTGATTTTAAGATATTTTCATACAATCATACGTATTGGGATCATTTGTATTAATGTGGACCGGAGGGAGAGGGGGACGAGCATAAGTTTCACTTTACTTTTTTATTTCAATTCCAACTTTGGTCATGAAGAATATGTTTCTCTGTTGTCCACGTTCATAAAGCATAAAGCAACAGCATCAGAGCACGGTGCAGAGTCTCTAGATGAGTTTACAGTAGTCCCTCGTTCTTATTGAACATCCATGTTGTAGTCCTCTGTATAGAAAACTGTAGTTTCCATAGTTTCCCCACAGCAGCAGACGCACATTCATGACGTCCGCTGGCGCATCATAAACACGTCGGATAGTGAAAGTGCAGTCGATTCTCTAAAGTACCGCAGTCTCTTCTCCTAAGTCCTTTTGAATTGTCCTATCCACTATCCCTTAACCACGTGACGTTTCACTCAGAGGTCAAGGGATAGACGTTTTCAAGGGACTACAGACGAAAAATAGCCTGTTGGCTAACTCTGGCGCATTTACAGAAATGTCAATCAATGTGCACTGTCCCTGTCAAATAAATATATAAATAAAAAATTAGGAGCTGCAGCCTAGGATTAAGAGACTGCGGTACTATATGTGACCCTATACTTTCCAGAAACATATCCGAATCAATAGTAGAATATTCAGAAGAATAAAGATTTGAGTAGAATTTATAAATGTCTCCTTTTTTCTAATCCACTGAAATAAGATGTATTTTTCTCCCCTTCCTCTACCCATTTAGCTCGGGATCTTACATGAGCACCTTGGGCTTTTTTAAAGTATAAATTATCTATAATTAGTTTAGTCAGACATTATAGTCTTACTGCAACAATGACTTATTTCCTGCACCAATTGGATCTCATACTGCTTTTGTTGTATACTTTTGGATTTATTATGTTGTATTGAAAACTCCCTTACCTTGAATTTAAAATACTCCCATCTACTGCTAGAACTATTTATACTCCTGTCATCTTGTATTGTCTGTATAAGGTCTCTAACCATTTTGATAAACTCCTCATCTTTTAAAAGATCTGCTTTACATTTCCAATAATCCTTTTGAAAAGGCGCCTTCAACATTTAACACCACAACAAGCCAATGACCGATATCATCAGCCTTAAAAGTGACAACCTTCCCAGGACATTTGTTAAAACATATGGCTACACCGCCAGAACGATTAGAACCGTGGCTGAACAACATTTTTTCTCCCCATTGGTTCGACCAGAAGGTGGCGTCAGCGTCGCATGAATGAGTCTCTTGTAAAAAAGTGCAGTGTCCCATACAAAATAAAAATACTGCTTTCCTCTTCACAATAGGCGGGTTCACACCGCAGTACACTTTAGTTCCGAAATGTTGCGTTGACATGGGACCTTTAAGACAAACTGTGACTTTTTTGACATGGAAATTATTTTTTAAGATTGACAAACATCATATGTGTAATTCGTGGCACAATTCAAACGGGATCGAAAGATACGTTTTCTCTCTCCATTGACTTCAATACATAATTTTTCAGAAATAATGTCCCATGGGGCGGAAGTAGATGGGCGTGACTTCGCCACTCTATAGGTCACATCCATGGTCACCTCTCACTCTGGGTGTTTCTCAATCGCGAGGATGCTGGCTTGGTAGTCGCGTCAGGCCCGGTTCCAGAACAAAATGACTCAGGGTGCATCTGAGATTAGAGAGGGTGCAGTGGTAAAGTGCTATTTTTATAGGTGGGGAGTGGACCTAACACCCTCTAGGGGGGTCCTCACCTCCTCTAGGAGGGTCCGCACCTCCTGTAGGGGGGTCCTCACCTCCTCTAGGAGGGTCCGCACCTCCTGTAGGGGGGTCCTCACCTCCTCTAGGAGGGTCCTCACCTCCTCTAGGGGGGTCCTCACCTCCTCTAGGAGGATCCTCACCTCCTCTAGCGGGGTCTGGGGGCATGCTCCCCTGGGAAGATATTTTTTTAAATGTTGAAGTTAAAAGCATCAATCTGGTGCACTTTGAGAGCAAAATGAAGAGATCTATGGATCTATGTGCTCTTTGCTCGATTCATGTCCCATGTCCAGTCCCTTTTCACGTAGCCTATAAGAGCATGGCGCCAGTTGTTGTAGCCAGTTGTGGTGAAGGCATCTGACTTACTTGAACCGAAATGTCTACATGCATAGCAGAAGATGCCATCTTTTGTACATGAATATTCCAGCCAATCTCTGTTTTGAAACCATGAGCTGCAAAATGAGCGCCTTACCCCACTGTACAGGCGAGTTGGGTACTTTTTTAAATATACCTGGGCAGGCTCTGTTTTACTGAGGTCCTCTGGCACTTGCGAGCCGCTGAGGGGTGGCTCTGTTTGGGGCAACGAAGACGGCTGCGGCTGCTCCGCCTCCGTGGGCGAGGCGGGCAAAGCCGGCGAGTCGGGCGTTAGTGTCCACGACAGTGGCCGCGGGTAACGTAATGTCCCCATGATCTGAACTGTTATTACCTCCAGTAGATGCAGTGTTACTGCTGGCGATTAGGGCTGGTTGTTTTTAACCATTTTCTGAGTTCCATCACTGACTGCTGTGTAAGCACCTTGCAGATGACGAACGCGCAGCGGCACAGGTCACGCACACCTGACATAATCGTTACTTACCGTTTAAATTGCAGCAGGCAATGTTATTTAACCACAATTACAATTAATTTTATTTCAACTTAATTTCTCTCTTTTCTTCTTCTTCTTCTTATTATATATGTAATATTTTTGCTTAACGACTCAACTGAGGGTGCAATGCACCCTTATGCACCCCCGTAGAACCGGGCCTGAGTCGCGTACTTCCAAGTCACTTCCTTCAGAAACGAAGCAAGTATGCTTCCAAGCCACGGCTTCGGAAAACGAAGAAGAATGGAACAGGCTAACCAGTGTCCCACTCTCTCTAACGGTTTCAACATAAACGGTACCGAAAATAAATAGGCCTACCTCACGATGTCTATCTAATTATGAACTTGCTTTACTTTCACTGAACACATTGTTGGTGATAACAAATGTAACAAACACATGTTCTACGCCACTACATACATAGATTTAATAAATGTGTGCTGCGTCGGTTCAGCCATTCTCCGCAAGGGTTTTTGAAATTGGTCCGTGCGCAAAGCATTGTGGGGATTTTAAGGATGCGAAATTTCCCCCAAACCAAAGACGCGGCCTCGGTGGAATTCCAAGTATGCTGGAGATTGGAACAGTACTTCGGCGGCACTCGATGATGTAGCATCCTTGAAATATTGGCTTGGAAGCCAGTATCCACGAGATTGAGAAACGGCCTGTCACTCTCGCGTGTCAGCGAGGAGGTGGGGGGGGGGGGGGGGTGCGCTGAGAACTGCGCTGAGAGCCGAGGCCCCCTGCGCAATGTGAGGCCCCATACAGCCTGCATGATCGGCCTGTAGGGACTAGTAGGCCATAAAGTGAACCCTGTTATCGTTTCAATCCCGCTCCACAGAAGTGGAACTACACAATCTTTAGTTCATAAAAAAGAACGAGTCATGCTTATCCACCAAAAAAAAGTTCGTCGCTAAAATTCCTGTCAATTCTTCTAGGCACGTAATTATTGGCTGAACTAGTCCTTTCAAAGCGTAATAATATCTTGGTCAAAAGTAGTGCCACGGTCCGTCACGTGATCGTGCTACACCAATTGGGTAGCTGCATATACCGGTATCAACAAATAGATTTGGAAAAAATGGCGACCGCCATGGTTTCATCGAGTAGCGGGGACGAGGAAAACGCACCAGAAAGTCTCAAAAAGTCCAAATTATCAACACACAGACATTGTTACATGCATATTACGTCTGTGAAGCACGAAAAGGTTGATTGTTTTACCAATACAAGATGGAATACGTACAGGACAAGCTTACAACGGTGGCATTGATTTTGAAGTTACAAATACAATATTATCATATTACAATAATAATAATAATTATAATATATATTATATATATCTATAATAATAATCTATATATATCTATAATAATAATCTATAATAATAATGTAATTCATCAAATTATTATATGATGAATGAGTAAATAAATGAATCAATGGTCATTGGTATAAGTACTGCATTTTATTGATCTAAATTACTTAACGTAACAAGTTAACCTTCTTCTTGGACGCAGCTATGTATGAAATCAAGTCATGTTTATTGTAAGAGTGCATTTAACGTGTACAGGGTAACAATAACAACAGACAGACAGACAAAAAGTCCTCAGTCTAATGGAATAATCCACGAGCTCAGCCAATGAACCTAGCGATGCGAACATGGTAGTCCAGGAATGTTGTTGTAGCTGGAGTTGGCTGATAAACGCTGCTAGCCAATGTTGATTCGATGGTCAACTCTGTTCCCAGAGAGTAAAACCTCTCACAAATACCGCGTATATAACGCAAATACCTCGGACTTAGTGATGTATTAAGACATATGACAAAACATGACATAAAACAAGCATACAGCACTGTTTAGAATCCATTTGGTCTGGTTTAGCGTAACCATGTAGGCGGCCATCTTTCACTTCTGTTGACAATATGCAGCTACCCAATTGGTGTAGCACGATCACGTGACGAACCGTGGCACTACTTTTGACCAAGATATTATTACGCTTTGAAGGGACTAGTTCAGCCAATAATTACGTGCCTAGAAGAATTGACAGGAATTTTAGCGACGAACTTTTCTTTGGTGGATAAGCATGACTCGTTCTTTTTTATGAACTAAAGATTATGTAGTTCCACTTCTGTGGAGCGGGATTTCTTTTCTAAAGGACTTTTCGAGGTTCACCTTGCGGCCTATAGGAGCATGGTCGGGAGCGGTAGGGAGCTTGGATGTATAATAAGAACGGTAGGGAGGGACGACCCTGTGTAGCTGTATTAAAGTCCGACTGGAAACCGTCCTGACTAAATCTGATTTTGTCAGAAATCGGGAGAAATATGACCCCGGGAGGAAACCGGGAGAGGGCAATGAAATCGGGAGTCTCCCGCGAAAATCGGGAGGGTTGGCAAGTATGGGGGGGGGGGGTTGTTGTCAGGGCTCCATCAGCAGGGTGCAATGTAATGTAATGTAAAACAGGGGAAGGGACTGAAAACAGCTCACAACTGATCATATGAATATTTCATAAAGACATTTCTCATGGTTTCAAATCCCTGTACATTTCATCAACAAAGAAACAATCATTGTCTATTTTGAGCCTTTTGCAGATATATATATATATATATATATATATATATAGATATATAGATATATATCAGTATCAGTGAGGACACAGGAACACAGTCACACACATTTGTGAGTACCTTTCCTGCTCATGTCTTTATTTCAGGTATTCTGTGCAAACCTTTTTTGCTTCATTTGAAAATGATTTACACAATTATTAATATCCCGTTTCTGCGGGGCTCCCCACACATTGTACTTTTCAGAATGGGTCGATTCTTTTATTTCCCACATCTTTTACAGTAGAATCTTCTTCAGTTTAAACTTAATTCAAGTGCTGTGTATAAAGAAGTTCACACATTTTATAGGGCATTCATGACAGATATATTCTCATACGTTTCTACCTGCAGGGGCCATGACATCAATTCATTGTCTGGTGATATTTCCTACAAAATGTGATGCCTTCTACTGACAACCATATGCATCAAAGTATTAGTATGTGCTATTCGCTGACATACAGGAGGACGTCTGGATACTGTGGTGACTGCGTGTGCGAATACACTGGAGCAGTGATACTAAACATGGCTGACAGAGACACTACAAGAAGACATGCCAAGGGGAAGACATGAGAGGTCCGGCTCAGTGTGTTCCATGACATGTGATCATCAGAAGGGAATCAGTCCTCTGTGAGTGTCCCAGGGCTTTCAGGTGATCTTTGATCTACTGTCTAGCACCTTCCCTGATCATGTGTAACGACATGCATCACATAGAATGACACATACAACAGATTCCTGTTGAGGTTTGCTTTAACAATCGAAAACACGATTGGGGAGATTGCACATCTCTGCAAAAGCACACATTTAGTGGGTAACTGTTTACCATGATGATGACAAGCCAAGCCCAACTCTGGATACAATTCCCCCAACAATACATTGTAAAACATTATATCCCAATTACAACCAATACAGCTTTATTTAAAACCCAACCCGAATGTCCGTTAGTCTTTCCTCTCGACATTAATACACATGACACTGCTGCATTCAATTCATTATTTCTGTGATTAAACCTTAAGATATGATGAAACAAGACCTGCAGTATCAGTGTGTGTACAACACTCTTCATAGTCTCACGAGAAGAAGAGCTGCTGGCACAGTCGCTGAGTCTCCTCTGGACTGGACACTCCATGGCCCATGGTCCGAGGGTCGCAGTAGATCTCGTAGTCGTTTTCTCCCTAACACACACACACACACACACACACACACACACACACACACACACACACACACACACACACACACACACACACACACACACACACACACACACACACACACACACACACACACACACACACACACACACACACACACACACACACACACACACACACACACACACACACACACACACACACACACACACACACACACACACACACACACACACACACACACACACACACACACACAGTTATGTCTGTGCATTCTGTCTGAATAGCAACCTCGTGGAGCTGTACAGCGCTTGGGGCATCTGTCCACAGTTTAGCACATTTCATGAAATACATGCAGGATGGAATTACAGACCCTCCGATGGGTAGATTCCGTTTCTATCCTCGAGCCATAGTCATGTGACTATTTACTGTCTGATTCTACAAGGAGCTCACAGTGAATACACGTCTTTAAGAGTGAGGATGGTCCTCTTCTGGGACAGAGGAGGCTGTCTCTGCTCAGTGGAATTGTACATGAAGTTAGTTCAATCTCTTGTCTTCAAACAGATGCTAACAGGAGTGGCAGACACACTGAAAGTCATCATGCTGCTTCTGAGTGGCTGATAGCATATAAGCAGTTATCAGTAAAGCAGTGTGAATCAGATCCTTCATGAATGTGTGCAAAGTGGGTAGGGGCTGGATCAATGGGAGCATGTTTGTGAATGCAGATGGGTCAGCTTCCCACAGCAGAGCATTCAGACCCTTATTCACAGCCGTCAGACATGCATCTGGCTCACCTCAGTGCCTTCACACCTGGCTGTGTGTCTCCACAGGGGTCTGCAGGGACCCCTCCCACTCTAAGGCATTACCATGCTGCTTTGTTCCTCCCATCACAAATGGCCAGCAGAATGCAGACTGAGCCAGAGCTGTACTCAAAAAGGGTTTGAAATGTGTTTCTCAGCAATGAGCTGGGTGGAAACCTTGGAGTTTAAGAATCTTCTAGTTCATATTTGAAAGGCGGAGAGACCTGCAGTATATGCAACTGGAGATAATGACACTAAATGAGTCAACTAGAGTCCGTTGAAATGTACTAACCCACTCACGCACCACCACACACATATAATAACAAAGACTATTACACTCCTGAAATACTTCTTATGTGCAATATACTGAATATATACTGCAAATAAACCCTTCCACCTTCAACACTCTCACCTGGCTGCTATTTCTAAACTGTGAATGGATGTTTCATTTGCATATGGTGTCATTTCTAGTTGCATCTTTAATATGTGTATGCATGCTTCTTTGGCTCTTTACTTGCTGTAACAAATATCAAATGTCTCAGAATATTCTGATTCTGACCACACAGCGCTGAGTGTGCTGTGTGTGTGTGAGAGGAACACTAAAGCATGAAATAATAAGAAGACAGCTTAAAAAGCAGGACAGACTCTAGTCTGGAGAGCTATGGGCCAGCTTAGTGAGGGTGAACAGAGGGGGGGGGGGGTTGCAGTATAGACACACAGCACAGACTTACAACTTGTTGACAAAAAGTGTAAGTTTGTCGATTGTGTGTATGGCCTCAGCCGGCTGTCCACGGGATATTGTCACTTTGAAAGAAGAACCATGTTGTTCTGTCCTCTGCCATCAGTTAGCATACTCACAGGTTTGGTCTTGTCCCCAAAGAAGTGGATGGTTGAGAAGTCCTCCTCAACAAACCTCAGACAGAATGTCTTATCCCAGCCGTCAGGAAAGACATCAAAGCTGATCTGGCCTCCTGTACGCAGAAGAGGACGAGAGGCAGGAAGACGGTGACACCACACTGACCCTGACCTAATGCTCTGTTCCTACACTCTAATGGCGCGTTTCCACTGCAGCGGGTAGCCCCGTTTAAGCGTCCTTAACCGTCCTCAAGCGGCCAGGCCGGTTTTTGGTGGCGTTTCCATATAGCCTAGTACCGGCCAGCGGGTACTTTTTCCGGCCTCATAAAATCAAGGTTCCCTCAGACCAGGGCCAGGGCTGAACTAGTGACGTCAATACTCTCGACTGCTGATTGGTCAGAGAGAATCGTCACAAGATTGCGCACAAGTTCATCTCTAGCGTCGCATATATATCTAGAAGCAAGCTTGCAGCATTTTTATACACAGCATTTTGTAAACGGATGAGCTACAAAAATGGCTACTTCTAAGAAAAGCACACCGTGGTCGACCGAGGAGGTGACGACGTTCCTTCATCTCATTGGGGATGATCAAATCCAGCGGGAGCTCGACGGAACAACTCGAAATGTGAACAAAATCAAAGCCGATCGCCCCGCCTACACTGCGTTGCTACCGCAGGTCCTAAACTGTAATGGAAATGCGCCACGGCCTGGGCCGGCCAGCGAGGCAGCCCGAGGCCAGAGCGAGGACGCTTAGGGACGCTTAAACGGGGCTACCCCGCTGCAGTGGAAACGCGCCATAATAGAGCCTTCCAAACCAACACTGGACTGCAATTGGACTTGACTCACCGATTGAAAATGACAGTCCTTTTCCTTTGAATTCTTCCTTTAATATTGACACAAACTTCTCTCTGATTTTCTCCTTCTGAAAAAGAGCAGAATGTAAATATAAACACAGCACTAAATATGGAGCCATTTTAATCTTTGTTTTCCTTTTTGAAACGAGGAGTAAAACAAACATCCTAAGGTTAAAGAAGAATGGTTATTTCACAAAGACGGCAACAAAAAAAGTCAGAAGAGACTAAGACACTAAGATAAAGGTGGCTAATTCACTTGTTAGAAACCGTCTTTTTGTGACACACAAAAACATAAACCCAGCTTGTGTTAACCACAGACCTGTTTTCAGGTTTGAACAAAAAACACCTTCAAAAATGGTTGCCTTCAAGACGAGGGAACCGGAAACTATAAAATGCTGATTGCTTTTTAGAAACGCAATTCTGCAACACTACATTGTGACTCATTCTACCTTTAATGTGAACGATATGGATGAGTGCAGCTTTAAACCATGCATGTATGTGAATGAGTGTGTACCTGATCCAGCTCGTAGAACTCCTTCCTCTCTTCCGGGGTACAGCTGCGCCCAATAGGGGAGACGTTTAACATGCCGTTACGGAATTCAATGAATGTCCCCCTGTGAAACATGCCAAAGTACAATAAATGTTCCTTCATTACTTTGAGTTATTGTTAACATTTTAATGGTCTGCATGCTTACACAGAAATCGAAAAAACAAGTACATATGGCTAATCATGACCGCTGTAGAATAGCTGCCCACTGCTCCAAGTACTAGGATGGGTTAAATGCAGAGGTCAACTTTCACTGTGTGTGCTGTGTGAAATAAAGAGGGTTTAGATTCAGCTGTATCTGTACCTCTTCTTAGGCAGTTTGATCTTGGCCATGTAGTTGAGACAGAAGTTAATGAAATCCTGGAGCAACTCTTCTCCCATGTGCGCCTGAATAGACTGATAACAGCAAGCACACACAGTGAACACTTTGCTTTCAGGTGATCTCTTTGTTTACAAAACAAAAGGTAAGGATGGCAAATTAACTTAATATGTCCAACAAAAAGATGACAATACAGGCTTAAAAGCTGTTAATAAAAAAGGTGTGCACACATAACATCAATCTCACCTGGATACAGAGCAACTGTCCA